GCCGAGGTCTGCGCCATGCACCTCGCGCACCGGTGCGGCAGCGAGGGCATCGAGGCGCCCGGCCCCGGGGGCCCCCGTCCTGCGATGGAGGGCAGAATTCGGGAGGGAAAGAGACACACAGACACAATGAATCTCCGATGCCCCTAGGAAATGTGGGAAAATATGGGAAGTGGGGGGGAAGACAGAAACCCACGAAATATGCGAAAATATGGGGGATATGTTTATTTGTGTGTGTATTCATTTGTGTGTCCTGGGGCCCCTTCAAGAATCTCTGATTGCCTCTATCTGGACGCCGGAGATGGACACGGAAGGAAGTGGCACAATGACCAACAGCAGAGGTTGTCCAAAACCGACAGCGACCGCTGTTGGGCAGGCGGCTGTTTGTCTTCAGTGAACGACGTCCGCGGCGGCGCGGGCAACGAGTCCTGGTCAAAGTGAACAGGAACTGCTGCTGGACATCGTACCCATTCTTTCCATACCCATTTCGATCGTCCCGATTCTAGAAAACCAATGTCTGGGGCATGTGCCAAATACCGTTCTCGCTTTCTGACCGCAATCGTCCTGGTCGATGAAAGAAAACAACATAAACATCAAGTGTGGCGCTCCGCGCAGATTTCTTGGATCCGCGCTGGGCCCCCCCGCGGCGCCTCCGGCGCCGCCCTTGACGCGTTCCACACGCCAGGGAGGGTGGTCCAGCGCGGATCCAAGAGATTCGCGCGGAGCGCCAAAAGTGTATGTTCATGCAGCTTCTTTTTATCATTATGATGATGATTATTATTGTTATTATTGTCATTATTCTTGGGTGCGTTGCGTAAAAAGACACCTCCAGGGTGGAAGCGTCCAGAGACTGTGCGGCCGCTGCGTTCGGCGCAGTGCCAGGTCGGAGATTGGCACCGCTCGGGCGTGTGCATTTATTCTCGACGAGGACCATCGAGGAGCCTTTGAGTCACATTGCTAGAAAATAGAGGCACGGAGCCGAAAAATACATGGAAAACGGACGTCCGAGCGATGGCGAGAAGTAGGTCCCACATGGTACTCCAGCTCCTGCGCACAGGTGGCGGGAAAAAGGGTCGGGTGTTGCTAGAAGTGCCCCTGGCCCAAGGTGCCCCCAGGGTGTCCAAGGAGGCCCCAACGGCCTCCAGAGAACCCCATCACGAGGCCCAGGGGGCCCCAGGGGCTCCAAAGTGGACCGAAAAGCTGGGCGCACCTTGCGTCAGGGGCACCCTCAGCAGCTCCCGGCAGGGGGGCCGAGCAGACGGGGTCGGACGATCTGACTTCCTCAAGCCGGGCGTTTCTCCTCGACTCCGGCCCCTGGGGCCCGTGTTCCTCCTCCTCCTCCTCCTCCTCCTCCTCGTCCTCCTCCTCCTCCACCTCCTCCTCCTCCTCCTCCTCCCCCTCCTCCCCCTCCTCCTCCTCCTCCTCCTCCTCCTCCTCCTCCTCCTCCTCCTCAGAACACAGCCCCTGGGGCAGCGGTCGGGGCCTCTGGGGGGCCCCGGCTCGACAATGTCGTGTCGTCGGAGGCCTGGCCTTTTCCAGGACTCGAGTGGGGCTGGGGATCGCGTCGCATCGCCGGTGCATCGGCGATGTGGCTCCATGTGGAGCCCGGTGTTCTCCATAGCGACGGCGCCGATGCATCGCCGACGCATCGCCGTTGCATCGACGATGCAGTGGCGATGCGGCGCGACCTTCCGAGCCCACCCGCTCGGACCCCGCTTGAGTCGATGATCCTCAGGACGTGTGTCAGCTCAATGTGTGTTTACCCCGTTCAGCCACACCCGCAGATCATTACACCGCCTGCGTCGTATAGAAGGGCCTCGGTGGATAAACACACGTTGGCCCTAACGCTGTGAGGATCGTCGATTGGGAGGCATCTACAGGGGAGGGGAGGGGGGGGCAGGAGGTCAGGGTCAGCGTCAGCGGGGACAGGCTCCGGGCGGGAAGCGTCTGCCCCTGGTCACCCATGGATTGGCCGTTTGGGCCCGATACAGTCAACCCGCATAGGAAGGACGGGCAACCTTCCCGTGGAGGGTGTCTCCGAAGGGCTTAGGCGACCCGTCCTCCTCCTCCTCCTCGTCCTCGTCCTCCTCCTCCTCCTCCTCCTCCTCCTCCTCCTCCTCCTCCTCCTCCTCCTCGTCCTCCTCCTCCTCCTCCTCCTCCTCCTCCTCCTCCTCCCTCCTCCCTCTCCCTCCTCCCCCCCTCCCTCCTCCTCCTCCCTCCTCCTCCTCCCTCCCTCATCCTCCTCCTCCTCTCCTCCTCCTCTCCTCCTCCTCCTCCTCCTCCTCTCTCTCGTCCTCCTCATCATCATCATCATCTCATCATCATCATCATCATCATCATCATCATCATCATCATCAACAACATCAGCATCAACATCAACATCAACATCATCCCCCTCCCCCTCCTCCTCCCCCTCCCCCTACTCATCGGGTCGCCTACGGCCCCAGGGGAAACCGTGCACCTTCCCGAGGGTACCTTTGCATCCTTGCCTCCTCGGTCCATCCTCGGCTACTTTCGTTGGCCGCGACCCGCTCGAGAAGCTTCGAAGTGGGCGTCCAAGGCCCTGAATCCTCACCGCGCATCCTCATTATTCGGGTTGGCTGTAGCCCGCCCCGCCCAAGAGCGTGCGGAGTCGCTATAAATAGTCAAAAATAGTCTGGGGGCGATTGTGTGGTCACGTGTTGACTAGGTTTGAATACGTTTTGCCTATATTTGGTCTCCAAAATCAGTCTGTAGGAGGACATGCCCGACCTAAAGCTATCTGCGATCTGGTGCCCCCCGAAAGGGCCCGTCCCCCCCCCCCTCTCGCGTTCTCATTTCCACAGGGGCACGGGCTCGAGGAAGCGCAGGCATGGCTCAAGGCGCGAGGATCAGGGGCGGGCCCCTCTTGTCCGCACGAAGGCGACGGTCCCCGTCGCCAAAGGAGGCATTCCAGAAAAAAGAGCCTCGGGAGGGGAAAAAACACAGAGAGAATTCTTTACGCTTCGCGTATCCCCACCAGCCCATCTCACAACAGCAACTCTTGCGAAGCATGCCGACAGTCGTGTTTTTCAGGCGTGTGTCCGCTTGGCCCCGCATATCTCCCCTGTTCCTCCTTCCTCCCGCCTCCTTGTACATCCTCCTTGTGGGGGGAGCGGGAGAAGGACGAGGCGGAGGAGGAGGGAGAGAAAGCGCTCCTCGTGGTTTGAGTCGTTTGGGGTTTCTCGTCCTGGTGTGAGTCGTTCGGGCCCTTCTTCCTGGTGTGAGTCGTTCGGGCTCTTCGTGGTGTGAGTCGTTCGGGCTCTTCGTCCTGGTGTGAGTCGTTCGGGCTTCTCGTGGTGTGAGTTGTTCGGGCCCCTCGTCCTGGTGTGAGTCGTTCGGGCCCCTCCTCCTGGTGTGACTCGTTCGGGCTCCTCGTGGTGTGAGTCGTTCGGGGCCCTCGTCGTGGTGTGAGTCGTTCGGGCTCCTCGTGGTGTGAGTCGTTCGGGCGCCTCGTCCTGGTGTGAGTCGTTCGGGCCCCTCCTTCTGGTGTGAGTCGTTCGGGCTCTTCGTGGTGTGAGTCGTTCGGGCCCCTCGTCCTGGTGTGAGTCGTTCGGGCTCCTCGTGGCGTGAGGCGTTCGGGCACCTCGTCCCCTTTTGAGGCGTCTTGGGGGCCTCTTGGCGGCCCCAGGGGCTTCTAGGAGCGTCTTGGGTGCCTTGGGGGAGCCTCTTTGGAGCCTCTTGGAGGCCGTTTGGGGCGTCTTGGGGGCCTCTTGGCGGGCCCAGGGGCTTCCAGGAGCGTCTTGGGTGCCTCGGGGGGAGCCTCTTGGGGCCTCTTGGGTGCCTCTTGGGGGCATCTTGGGGGCCTCTTGGAGGCCTCTTGGGGGCCTCCGGGGGGCCTCTTGGGGCCATCTTGGGGCCTCTTGGTGCCTCCTGGGCGCTTCTTGGGGCCATCTTGGAGGGAATCGATCAAAGAAGAGGGGAGCTTTAATGAGCGCTGCCCCCTCAGAAGGGCAAAATGACCCCAAAACCTTCGTAAAATCAATGATTCTGCCTGGAAAGAAGAGGGGAGCTTCAATGAGCGCTGCCCCCTCAGAAGGCGAAAATGGGGCCAAAACCGTAGTAAAATCAATGATTTTGGCTTCAAAGAAGAGGAGAGGGTTTTTTCTGCCTCCCCCCGTCGGGGCCAGAATCCTCGTGAGGGGTGTCGTTTTTTAGCCCTCCCAGGAGTCGAAAATGACCCCCCCAACGACCCGCGGAGGGACCTCTCCAGGCCCAGGGGGAGGGGGTAGGGGGAGGGGTAAACCCCTCCCCGAAGGGGAAGAAGGCGGTTGAGAACAGAGCGGGCTCTCTAAACCACTCACGCCCAAAGGGCTGGTGGGATTCATCGTCGATTCCAAGGAAAATATTGGAAAATATTGGAAGTGGGGGGGGGAGACGAAACCTTAGAAAATGTATGAAAATGTTGGGAATCCTGGGGCTTGTGTGTATTTATTTGTGTGTCCCCGGGCCCCTTCGGAGCCTGGCCTTCGAGGGGAATCGAGGGGTGGACAGCCCCTTCCTCTGCGGAGGGCGGCAGAAGCCGGCAGGAGTGAAGCAAAGCCGTCTCTGTCTGCCAGCGGAAGCCAGAAGTTGCCTTCCCAAGGTATGTTTAAGTCGGGCCTGTCCCTCTGCAGGAGGAATACTCCAAAATAGTCACACACACACACACACACAAGAAAAAAAGTCTGGAGACGATTTGTCGAGATCATGTTTGAGCTATGCTTGGGTATTTTTGTTACGCGTTTTATTCTTCGTCCAAAATCCGCCTGTAGGGGGATATGCCTGACCTAAAGATGTGTGTTGCTTCGGGGTCCAGGGCTTCCGGAACCCGCCCGATGAGGCGGCATTGGTTTCGTGCGTCGAGGGGTGTCTTCCCCGATCCGTGGATGCTTGTCGCTTCGCGGGGGTGCACGTTTCGAACGTGTCGTGTAGAGTGGGTAAGCTTGGGCCCTCCTGGGAGCACTGTGGAGGCCGCCTGGGGCCTCTTCGGGACCTCCTGGAGCGCCTCGGGGGCGTGTCGGGAGCCTGCTGGGGCCTCTCATGGGCGTCCTGGGCCGCCCTCGG